CAGTAGTTTGAGTTATTTTGTTGGAGGAAAAGATGCCAAAATGCTCACACTAGTTATCTCTGAGTGGTAAGATTATAAGTTACAGGTCAACCTAATAGTAAAATTAATGCTGTAGAGGTACACCAGAATGCTGGGAACCCCTCAGTAAGGAGACTACCTATAAGTGCAATCCATAATATTTACATACAAGATATTTCCACTGACTAGAGGCAGAGACAATGCTATGAAGCCTTTGGTCTACACCATAGAAGATAAGGGTCAAAGAAAACCACACAATGGTATCATTCTACTTTATCCTATCTAGTAATAGACAAACATGGTAATTGACCATACCTTCACTACACCTCTCATTGGCTAATCAGCGAGATATGCAAATTAACCGCCAACAAAGATAGTGGCTAATTTGCATACTGCAAGCAGGGCGGGACAGCGAGAGCCAACAGCGCAAACTGCCATCCAGGCCCCCGTGGGCGACCCCAGAAGCCGCTTGCCTGCCGCCCAGGACCAGATCCGGTCCCCGGGCCGCTGGTGGGCCCCGCAAGCCCCAGAAGCCACCAGATATGGCAATAACTCTATCAGTAAGTACTCTGAAAGTCAGTGGCATAAATGCACCAATTAAAAGACAAATTATGAGGGTGAATAAAAAACAAAACCCACTTTAAATATAAAGACACATACAGATTAAAAGTAAATGAATTAAGCTGAAGACTGTTTTGCTCAGTGGATAGAGCATTAGCCCATGGACTGAAGGGTTTGATTCCAGTCAAGGGCATGTACCTCAGTTGCTGGCTTGATCCCCAGTCCCTATCAGAGCATGTGCAGGAGGCAACCAATCAATGTGTCTCTCCCTTTCCCTTCACTCTCTCTCAAATTCAATGGAAAAATATCCTTGGGTGAAGATTAACAAAAACAAACTAAATGGATTAAGTAACATTAAAGACATTATAAGAAAAATATATTCCAAAATTTGTTAGCTGTATAATGGTTATGTTTAAATTATTAACACCTAAGAAATTGGGTGAAGGGTATATATAATATGCTGTAGTATTTTATAGTTTTTTTTACATGTATGAGATTATTTCAAATTAAAAAATGAAAAATTAATAAAATATTAATTGAAATGTGTATGCATTACATGAAAAATCTCCTAATTGCTTCTAGCATAATTTATTAAATTGTGCTAAAATTTACAAGGGTTCAATTAAAAAATATCTTAATTCTAAATGATATAATAGAAAATATATAATAGTGCAGTTATAAGCACTTATCTGAAAATAAAAATTTAAAGAAGTGAATTTAAAGAAGGGATTAGCCAAAGAAAATATATGGACAACCCATGGACACAGACAACAGTATGGTGATAGCCAGAGAGAAGTGGGGGGTAAGAGCTGGGTAGAGGGGGCAAAAGGGGGGAAATAGGGACATCCTATCTACACTAATAAAAGACAAACATGCAAATTGGCCATACCTTTGCTACGCCTTAAGCCACGCACACCAGCCAATCAGAGCGACTATATGCAAATTAACCCAACCAAGATGGCGGCTGGCAGCCACGGAGCTGGAGCAAGCAGGAGGCTTGCTTGCCCCAATGATGGAGGAAGCCTGCCGCGGCCCTGCTCTAAGCTTCACTCAAAGCAACAAAGTTTCAATTATAGAAGGTAAATAAACCCCAGATACCTGCTTTCAACCTGCCATGGCCACAGAGCTGGAGCCTTGGGTTGGCCCTGGCGATGGAGGAAGCCAAGCCCTGGCCGGCTCTGAGCTCCACTCAAGCCTACAAAGTTTCAATTATAGAAGGTAAATAAGTCCAAGGGGAAAAAAAAAGCAGAAAAGGAGAGGCTGGGAGCTTCCATTGCTGGGGAGGCTTGGCCAGCCTGAAATCGGTCCTCAGCCCTTCAGCCCCTCACCCAGGTATTAAAAGGCACCCCAGTGGGGACCCCTACCCTGAAGGGGTGTGACCAGCTGCAGACAGCCATCAGCCCCTCACCCAGGCTGGCTAGGCACCCCAGTGGCACCCCAGTGGGGACCCCCACCCTGAAAGACAAGCCAGCCGGCCCACACCCATGCACCAGGCCTCTATCCTATATAATAAAAGGGTAATATGCAAACTGACCCTAACAGTAGAAAGACTGGGAATGACTGGTCACTATGACACACACTGACCACCAGGGGCCAGACGCTCAATGCAGGAGCTGCCCCCAGGTGGTCAGTGCACTCCCACAGGGGGAGCTCTGCTTAGCCACAAGCCAGGCTGATGGCTGCCAGTACAGCAGTGGTGGTGGGAGCCTCTCCCGCCTCCTCACCAGCACTAAGGATGTCAGACTGCAGCTTAGGCCTGCTCCCCGCTGGCAAGTGGACATCCCCCGAGGGCTCCCTGGCTGCCAGAGGGATGTCTGATTGCCAGCTTAGGCCCAATCCCCCGGGGAGTGGGCCTAAGCCAGCAGGTGGTCATCCCCTGAGGGGTCCCAGACTGCGAGAGGGCATAGGCCGGGCTGGGGGACCTTCCCCCCCCCCCAGTGCACAAATTTTTGTGCACCGGGCCTCTAGTAATAATAATAAAAGCCTAATATGCAAATTGACTGAACAGAATGGCTGGTTGCTATGATGCGCACTGGCCACCAGAGGGCAGACGCTCAATGCAGGAGCTGCCCCCTGGTGGTCAGTGCACTTCCATATGGGGAGTATGACTCAGCCAGAAGCTGGCTCATGGTGGGGGTCCCCACTGGGGTGCCACTGGGGTGGCCCAGAGGTGGTGGCAGGAGCCTCTCCCACCTCTGTGGCAACACTAAGAATGTCCAACTAATGGTTTAGGCCCAATCCCTTGGGGGCCTAAGCCGTTAGTCGGACATCCCCCGAGGGCTTCCTGGGAGTGGGCCTAAGTCAACAGGTGGACATCCCCCAAGGGGTCCTGGACTGCAAATGGGCGCAGGCCAGGCTGAGGGACCCCCCCGAGTACACAAATTTTTGTGCACCGGGCTTCTAGTTACATTATAAAACACAATGTAAATACATAAACAACAAAGCACTGACTTGACAATTTTTCTTTCCCACTATATTTTTTAAATGCCTTCTGTCTTTTTTTTAATTGATTAAGTTATTACATATGTGTCCTTATCCCCTTGTTACCCCCTACCCCCTCTGCCTTTTGAGTCTTTATCTAAGTAGTAAACCAACCCATAATTTCAAATACCTTATTTCAGGCACATTTTAATGTTATGAGTTGTTATTTTTCCAAATAAAAATTGACTGTGCCATTTTTCCAACAACCAATTCTCCATCACCAACTGGGTGTCCTAGAGTTCAGTTCAATTCTGACACTAACTACCTTTACAAACCCCACAGGTTGAAGGGCTCAATGCCATAAGACTAGCCCACTATAGACGCCAGCTGCAAATGGGGTCCCAGCCTAACCAACAGAAATTCAGAGATTCTCACAATCTCCCTTAGGTTCCACACTTCGCTATAATGACTCACAGAATTCAGGAAAGTGCTATACTTAGGACTGCTGCTTCATTATAAAAAATAGAATTAAGGAGAGGCCTTATAAGGCAAAGTAAGGGGACAGGGGCACCAAGCTTCCATTCTCTCTCCAGACACGCCACCTTCCCAGCACCCTCCTCACCAATCCAGAACCTCCTTTCACCTCCTTGTTTCAGTTTTTATGAGTGTCATTATTATAAGCATGACTGTCACTGGACATTGGCAATTAACCTAATCTCCAGCCCCTCTCCCTTTCCCAAATGCCAAGGGCTGAAAATTCTAACCCTCTAATCCTGTAGTTGGTTCCTCCAGCAACCAGCCCATCCTAAGCTACCTGAAGGCCTGCTGGAAGCCGGTCCATCCTTGCTGCTTGACACAGTCGCTGCAGGGAAGAAACATCTGTTTCAAGAGACCTGGCATATATGGCATACTGTTCTTAATATGTTTGCTCCCCTTCTTAGCGCTATGTGTTTTAACCAAGGTCACCTCTCCGAGAAAGGTTGTTTCCCCAGGTGGGGATTTTTCCCTGGAGGTAGGGAGGGAATAAAACCCCTTAACTAAGTGCCAGGCGAGTAATTAATCACTTTAACTACAAACTATCACACTTAAGCTACATAATCTTTACTTAGGATAATCTCCTTCAGTTACTTCCTTGTAGCTTAATAGAACAATAGAGTAACCTTGGAATAGAGATAAGAAACGCCCTAACCTTTAGAATAGAATGGATAGGATTAAAATCAACTGGTATAAATACAGATGTAACAGGACAATAAAGACAGAACCTGGCTAGAGAACCTGGCTAAGCTGCTGATCAACTGAACGCTGTCTCCGTGTCATTCCTTCTTTGCCAACTCTGTTCACACCTTTGGGAACCCCTGGACCTGCTGGGGTTGGACCCCAACATTTGGCGCCCGAACAGGGAGACACACTTGCGCCGGCATGAGGGCGCAAGGGTGAAAAGCATCTTCTGGAGGCTACCGTTGAACTCCGTTCCTTTTCACCTTCGAAGTGCCCTGAACAAGCTTCAGAGAGGCCGCTGCCACCACTGGAGGAGCATATCTACAGCTCTGAGACCCCCCGGCATCCAGCTCCTCCAGCCCTTGCCCTTTGACCCTGCTCTCACGGTGGTCATCTTGTGGCTGCGCGCTGGCAGCTGTTACTGCGAGACCCATCTCCTCCCCCCTGCCCGCCTGCTGCCTGTCAGTGAGTGAAGAGTCTCGCAGG